GAGGCCCCTAGCAGCCTTCACCCTCCCAGGGGGGCAGGCTCAGCGACAAGGGGCGGGGGTGCCCAGTCCCAGCGAGGGACTCCAGGGGCTGGGGGTGCTGGCCGAGCCCGGGGCAGCAGCTTCGCCAAGTTTGGCAACCGCAATGTCTTCATGAAGGACAACAGCTCCTCCTCCAGCACGGACTCCCGCTCCCGCTCCTCCTCGCGGTCCCCGACTCGCCACTTCCGCCGAAGGTGCGAGGGCTCCTGGTGGGAGGGGCAGGGCTGGGGGTGGCTCCTGAGGCCTCACCTTCCTGCTACTTCTGTGCAGTGCCTCCCACTCGGACTCTGACAGCTCCTACTCGGGGAACGAGTGTCACCCTGTGGGTCGCAGGAACCCGCCCCCCAAGGGCCGGGGTGGTCGGGGGGCCCACATGGATCGGGCCGAGGCCGGGCGCAGCGTGGGAAGAGGTGAGACTTTGGGTGGGCGACCAGGGAGGAGGGCCTGGGGCCAGTGTTTCTGGAGGAAGAGCAGGGCTGGAGTGTTGGGGAGCACTGGAGAGGTCCATACTGGCTACCAGCATGGCTGAGGGTGCACCCCCTGCCCCGTCACCCCCTTGCTCCTCCCAGGCACGATCTAGCTCCCACCAAGCGCAGCCGCAAGAAGATGGCAGCCCTGGAGTGTGAGGACCCAGAGCGTGAGCTGAAGAAGCAGAAGCGGGCAGCCCGCTTCCAGCATGGACATTCCCGCCGCCTGCGCCTTGAGCCCCTGGTGCTACAGATGGGCAGCCTGGAGAGCAGTGGGGCTGACCCTGACTGGCAGGAGCTGCAGATTGTGGGGACCTGCCCCGACATCACCAAACACTACTTGCGTCTCACCTGTGCCCCCGACCCGTCCACCGTGCGCCCCGTGTCAGTAAGTGCCAGAGAGGTCTGTCTCCGTGAAGCCTGGTGCTGCCATGAGGTCCCGGCACCAGCTCAGGCAGGACAGCGAAGACGACATGGGGGCGGGTGGGGCCTGGCCAGAGGCCCTAGAGCCTTGGGCACCAAAGTGAACTAGAGACAGACGAGCTCTTCCAGCCAGAGTCCAGGCTGGTGGCCTTGTGGGAGCTTGGCTCAGCCTCTGCACCTCTATGACCCAGGACATAGGGAGAAGGAAGCTGCCTGCTAGGCCAGGGCCCTAGGGACCGCGGGAGGCTGATGCCCTGCGTAGGCGTGGAACCCTGTTTAGTCCTCCGTCTAGCACACAGGCCTGCGGGGGGAACTCGGCTTGGCAGTCGTCGCTCTGGTCTTGTGCTTTGGGGGTTTCTGACTTGGTAGCAGGTGGTTGGGTGGGTGTGCGGTCACAGCCCTCACGTCACATCACTGAGTCAGCGCAACCGCGATGGGCTTTAGCACGTCCTCTCCCTGCCTGAGTCCCAGCGTCTGAGTCGGGTCCCCTTCCCAGGTTTTGAAAAAATCCCTGTGTATGGTCAAGTCACACTGGAAGGAGAAGCAGGACTACGCCTTCGCTTGCGAGCAGATGAAGTCCATCCGGCAGGACCTGACGGTGAGGCGCGGGCTGGAGCACCCCTGCGCTGGTGGGTGGCCCTCCCACCCCCACCCTGGCCTGACTGCCTTCTCCTCTGCTCAGGTGCAAGGCGTCCGCACCGAGTTCACGGTGGAGGTGTATGAGACCCACGCCCGCATCGCCTTGGAGAAGGTGAGTCTGCTGACCCAGCCCCCTTGGGCCCTGCCACCCCTTCCTGGCCTCACTCCCCATCTCGCCCTCTAGGGTGACCACGAAGAGTTCAACCAGTGCCAGACACAGCTCAAGTCACTGTATGCTGAGAACGTGCCAGGCAACGTGGGCGAATTCACTGCCTACCGGATCCTCTACTACATCTTCACCAAGAACTCGGGAGGTGAGAGGCACGTCCCTGGACGGGTGATTGCCAAGCCCCGGGGACACCTCGCTGACCTCCTTTGGTCTTCGGCCAGACATCACCACGGAGCTGGCGTACCTGACGCGGGAGCTGAAGACGGACCCTTGTGTGGCCCACGCCCTGGCGCTCAGGGCAGCCTGGGCTCTGGGCAACTACCACCGCTTCTTCCGGCTCTACTGTCATGCGCCCTGTATGTCTGGCTACCTCGTGGACAAGTTTGCAGACCGGGAGCGCAAGGCCGCCCTCAAGGCCATGATCAAAACGTATGTGCAGTTGAGCTCTCCCTCTGCCTTGCTGTACCGGCCCCGCTGGCCCCTCGTCCCTGTTCACTCCTGGCCACGAGGCCTGCTCCGGCCCATGCGCTGGCCTGTTTCCCTCACGTCCTGCCCTCTCCCATTGTGTCCTCCTCCCTGCTGCTGTCCTGCGCACAGCCTCCCTGCCCTGTTCCAGGCCCCCGACTCTCCTTCCGCCTCTCTACACACGACTCTGGGCTCCCTCTCCACTCTCGGCCTCTGTTACTCCTGCTCATGTCACCCAGACCCAGACGGCCTCCTTCCTCTGGGCCCCCCCACTTTGAGGTTTCTCTCCACCTTTCCTGACTTCTGTCCCCGTGCTCCTGTTCTGTGGAGACAAGCCGGAGCAGACAGCCTTGCTCTTGCAGGACCATGCCCCGCTCCCCCTTGAGCTGTCACCATGAAAGTGTGACGAGTTAGGGAAACAGCCCGTCTGGTGGTGTCCTGAGCACCCTGGTGCTCCAGGCCTGGTGACAGGCCCTGCGTGTGTCCACCGGGGCTTCTCAGCTCAGGTTAGATGGAAGGTTCTCTGTATCCCAGAGGACATTAGGCAACCAGGGCGGTGCCTGGCAGTTAGTGAGGGGGGAGCCTCGGAGGCTGGATACCCCACCAGGAATCATCTGACTCCGCATGTCAGCCTGGCCAGTAGTGAGAACCCCGGAGAGACATCAGTGGGCCCAAGGGGGCCTTGCTGTCAGGTGGCAGCTGGAAGCCAGGCGACGGCTTGCTTGGAGCTGCCTTTGGCTCGAGGTTGGGAAGACATCACTCGAGGGCCTGGTTTCAGCCCAGATTTGAGAGTGACAGGACGGGCCCATGGTAGACAGCGGGTCAGGGTAGAGCCTTCAGGCCAGTGCACGGGGCTGGGCTGGGGACCTGGGAATGGGACGGACCCATCCTCGGCAGCCCTGAGGGCAGGGTCGCGACGGCACTGTGCTGCTTACAGGCTGGTGACTGGCTATAATGGGGGATGCAGCCAGGAATGGGCCCTGTGGAAGCGGGCCCTGGCCCATTTCTGGCCTTTACCCACATAACCTCCCACCTGCGCAGGTGACACTGCCATTCCTTGGCACACACGTGCATCCCCCCCAGACCCCCCATAGTGGGCGTCCAGAGACCACATGCAGATGAGGTGCTGGGCTCCGTCAGGGACCCTAGGGTCCCAGTGAAGCAGGGGCAGCAAGCAGGACTCGGTCACGTGCTTTGTGCCTCTTGCTCCCTTGGTGACACCGCAGGTGCCTGTCTCTGGGGCGCTCTGCTCTGTGTGTCGATAGAGGCAGATGACACCCAAGCAGGAGAACTCAGCGAGGGAGCTAACAGCTTCCTGTGCTGGGGCTGTGCTCAGTGTCTTCCTGTTGGACCAGAAATTGCAGTCTCTGTGAATTGAGACACTTTGGGGCCTTCCAGAAGGCACTTGGACTCCAGGCAGGGCACAGGAAGCCTTGAGGGGTGTCCCTAGATAGCTGTCAGACCTCCCTCGAGCCCACAGTGGAGTGGGTCTCTGTCTGGCCCCTGCCCCTCAACCACAGCGGGCCCCGTGCTGAGGGTCTGCTCAGCCCTCAAGCCAGTGGAGGAGCCAGCTGGGCCCTTCCCTCCTACCCCCTCACCTTCCCACTTCCCGCACAGGTAAGTGAGGGTAAGGGGGGGCGCAGCCGGCGTTGGGCCCGCCATGGCACCCGGGCCCCCCCAAGCCCCTGAGGGGGGTGGTGGGCTAAGGGTGAGAGTTGGCAGGTAACGTACTGAGGAAACCCTCTGGGTGCCCGAATGGGGGGCACCCACCACCTGCTTGTGGGGCCCTCCCCTGCCCGCTGCCCCCCTCATCGCCTTCTCCTCTTGTCTCCTAGCTTCCGCCCTGCGCTGCCCGTCTCCTACCTGCAGGCCGAGCTGGCCTTCGAGGGCGAGGCCGCCTGCCGGGCCTTCCTAGAGCCCCTGGGCCTGGCCTACACGGGCCCGGACAACGCCAGCATCGACTGCCGCCTCAGCCTGGCGCAGCTGTCAGCCTTCTGAGCACCGCGACGGGGCGGGGGGGGGGGGGGGGGGCAGGGCTGCGCCCCACAGCGCTGCCTCTGCGGAGTTTGTTTTTGAGCCATGGACTTGGGTTGTAAATTAATTTGTGGGGAGTGGGCTCCAGGAAGAGCCACCCTCCCTGCCCCCGTTTTCCCACCGGGGAGTCTGTACAGAGATTTTTTTCTACATTTTTATTTTTGGTCTCAGAGGGTCGGGATGGGGGGAGGGGGGCAGGACAGCGGGGGGTGGGGGGCACGGTCTGTAGGCTCGTCTCTCCACCCGGCACCTCCACTAATGCTGTCTCAGTGTTTTCTCTCTCTCTCTCTCGAGCTTGTACTCCGGCACCCGACCCGGCACGCTGGCCTGTCCCAAGCTGGGGGCCAGCGGAAGAGGACCGGCCGCTCCGCCCGTGCCCGCTGCGGTGGGGACACCAGCACGCCCGCCCGCCGCCGCCTCCTCGGCCTCTCCACAGACTCTTGTTGCCCAGCCCTCCGGGGCCACAGTGTTTGGGGTGAGGGGAGCCACGTAGAGACTGTGCCCTGCCTTCGGCCCCCCACCCCAGAAACGCCGACGCCATCGCCACTGCCAGATCCCCACCGCCACAGCGCTCCGAGGACCCGGAGGCCTTCGCGGGACCTCGCCGGCCGGCCGCCTCAGCTGCAGTTGTATTAAGTTGTCTCGTGTCCCTCCTCCCTCCACCCCCAATGTCTCTCCTGGTTTTTTTCCTCCTCCCCTCCCTCCTCTTCCTGCCCCTCTCCTCCCTCGGTTCAGCACAGGTAAAGCAGTTCCCTCCCCTCCCACCTCCATGGATCACCAGCTCACGTCATGTTTCCTTCTCTTTTCTTTTTGTGTGTGTTTATTTCAGTTATTTTTTCTTCTTCCTCCCCTTTTCTTTTCGGCCCTCCCTCCCTCCCTCTTCTGCCATGTAACTGGAGGGCGTGCAATGCGTTTGCAAACAGCTGGACTGTCAGGCTGCTTTTTTTCCAGATGTTTCTCCTCTGCCCCCTCCCCTCCTCCCCCCTTTCCTTCTTCATTCTTTTCCTTGGAGCTCTGAGCACCATTTGAAGCTTGAGAGAAACCAAAATTAAAGAGAGAGTGAGAGAGAGCACACTTGTCCCGCTGCTTGGCCTGGGCCTCCTTTGGGTCCCGGTCCTGTGTTCTGTGGGGGTTGAGAGCCAACAGGTGTCCCGTGGGGTCTGGACTATCCCTCCAGGGGGATCTCTGCCACTGGCTCGTATGTGTCGCCTGCCCTCCCCACGCGGCACAGCCAGAGTTTCCCCAGGGGCTGGTTGCCCAGCTCCTGCCTGGGGCTGAGCTCGGGCTTGGGGAGGCATACTGGGGAGCCCTGGGGCACCTTGGCCAGGGTGAGGTGGGGATGCAGCCCTTCTGGGGGCTGTAGCACTCTCAGGCCCTGGGCCTCCAGTCTCTGGCTCAGTTCCTGGGCCATGCTCTGCAGGGAGGGGGAAGGTGGGGCACAGAGAACGTGGGGATTCAGGAGCTCCAGGTTCCTAAAGCTCAGCCTCTGGGGTGCCTGAAGCCCCGGTACCACCCGTCTGAGGGCACCCACCGCAGCCTCCACCTCCCCAGGGCCGGCCAGGCGGAGCAGGGCCAGCGTCAGGTGCAGGGCCTGCGGGGGCACGTTGAATGCCTCGCAGGCCGGCGAGGCTCGGACCAGCTCTTCCTGGGCCCTGGCCACTGCTGCCTGCAGGTCAGGGTCGGTCACCATCAGCGCCACGAAGTGCGAGGGCCGGGGCTGCCGAGGGGCGGAGGCCCGGCTCACGGAGCTCTCGAGACCCCACTCCGTTGCGGGGCCTTCGCCCGCGGGCCACCCTGGGGCCTCGGCCCTTGGCTCTTCAGCCCTGATGGCCGCGACAGCCCGCGCCCGTTCTGGCTGTGTCCCCCCGAAAGTCTGGCCTCCGGCCCCGCTCAGCTCATGCTCCGGGGATTTCGTCGCCAGCCACGCCATGAACCCGGCTTCGGGGCCTCCGCCTTTCTGGGCCGGGGCTGTTCCGAGCTCCTCACGCGCCGGCTCTCGCGATCCTCCGGCTCCGGCGCCTGCCCGCGCGCCCCCGCCGTCCTGCGCCTCGTCGGTGCGGGGCGCGCCCTCCGCCCCAGCCCCGCCGCCGTGGGCCTCCGCCGTCCCGGGCGCGCCCCCCCCGCGGTCCAGCACGTCCAGGATGGTGGGCCCGCGGCCGGCGGCCGAGCCCGAGCCGAAGACCAGGTCGGTGCGCGAGGCGCGGTCCCACACCAGGCGGCCGCGGTGGCGGAAGAAGCGCACGCGGTGCCGCGGCACGGCCAGCACGCCCGGCCCGAGCGCCGCCAGCGGCTCGTCCCAGCAGAAGGCGCCGAAGGGCTCCTCGCGCACGCCCAGGAAGCGGTCGACGTAGCCCACCGTGAAGTCGGCGGGGTCCAGGCGCGGGTCCCAGCGGATGCGCTGGATGACGGCCTCGGCCGTGCGCAGCGGCGGCTTCTTGGCCCCGGCTTCGGCGTCCGCCGCGGCCTCGGCCCCGCGGCTCGCCGCGGCCGGCGCCGGCGCCGGCGCCCCGGGGTGGGGCTGGCGGCAGCGGGCCCCGAAGCGGCAGCGGCCCTCCAGGAAGAAGCGGCAGGCCGCGGGCGGCGCGGGCTCCCCCGCAGGGGCCTCGCGGGGCGACCCCGGCTCCCCGGTCGCCGCCATGGGAGCCAGGGTGCGGCTGGCGCGCCCGACCCGCCCAGACTGCCGGGCGCCGGGCGCCGGCCCCGCCCGAGGGGTGACCCGCTGTGACGTCACGGGGATCCCGCCCGCGCCCCGCCCCCAGGAGCGCAGCCCGCGTTCTCGAGGGCCCTAACCCCGCCCCTCCGCGGCCGGGCGCGGGCCTTTGTCACCCCCGCCCCGGGCGGTGGCCTCGCGCAGCAGCCCCGCCTCGCCGCCCCAGAGAGCGTGGCGCGGCGCCCTGGCGCGCGGGGTTGGCGGTGCAGCCCCGGCGCCTCCGCGTCGTCGCGGGGTCGGGCTCCACCGCGGCCTCGAGCCGGGCCCCACCTTCTCACTCCCGCGCGCGGGCGGCCCTCCCCGCCCGGGCCCGGCCCCGAGCCGCCGCCTCTGGGGTTTGCGCGTGCCGCCCCCTCCCCGGCCCCTCCGCGGCCCTCCGCGCGCCCGGCCCGCCCCGCGCGTGACTGGCACGGGCCCTCGGGTCTGCGGCGCGGGCGCCAGGCGCCCTCCGTGGCCGGGACCCCGGACGCCCGCACGCTTGGTGTTTGGGGAGAAGGCCCGGGCCTCTCCCGGCCACTCGCGGGGCAGCCGCTCCCAGGGGAAAGGGCAGCTCCACCCGGGCAGGGCGCGCGGGCCACGCGGGCTCGCCCGCCTTCCCGGCCGCACCCCTGGGGGGAGGCGGGCCGCCGGGGTGCGGGTCTGGCCCGCGGCGGCGCTCCGTTCACAAAGACGGAGAAAGGCGGCCGCGTCGGACCCCCGCCTCCCAGGAGGGCGCCACCCAGCCACGCCCCGGGGGCTGCCTCTCGCCTCCGCCCGGCGCTCCTCCGAGGGACCCCGCCGGCCGGGCCAGCCTCCGCGGGCGCCGGAACTCCAGGGGACGCCCCTGGCTCTGAAAGGCGCCAGGACCCCGTCAACTCCCCACCCCGTTCCTCCGCCCACGTGCAAAGGGAGCAGACATCGCCCGAGGCACAGACCGTGGCCATTTATGTATAAAGAAGTGGGGAGTCGCACGGAAGGGCGCGGGGGGTGGGGGTGCCTACAGGCCGATGACGTCGTCCAGCTCGAGGTCCGCGTTGGGGCGGCAGCGCGCCCTGGAGTGCTGCGTGCCGGAACCGGGGTGCGCGTCGGGCTTGGCGGCGGCAGCCACGGGGCGCTCTGCATCCATGACGCCCAGCACCGCGTCCAGCATGGAGGGGCCCAGATCCAGGTGGAAGGACAGCAGCGGGTCGGCGGGCGCCGGGGCGCGCAGGGCGGGCGGCGGCGGCTGCGCAACGGCGGGCGGGGGCGCGGAGCACGGGGCCCCGGCGGGAGGCGCCCCCGGCTCGGGGGGCGGCCCGCCGCCGTGGCGGCTCAAGAACGACGTGTCCCCGAAGGCGTCGCCGCCGCGCCCCACGTGCAGGGTATGCCGAAAGTCGCCGAGGGGCGCGGAGATGGACAGGGCGCCGCGCTCCGGCCGCTTCTTAGGCTGCGCGGGGCCCAGCTGCTTCAGCACCGGCATCTGCAGGGAAGGGTTATGCAGGGAAGGGGCGAGTCAGCGAGGCCGCCACCCCGAGCTCCAGACGCCCCCTTCCCTGGCCCCTTCCCAGCACCGCAAAAGACCAGGTGAAGGGTGTGATTTCTCCCATTTTACAGGCAGGAGGCCTCAGCTGCTTGATTGAAATCTCAGGGTCAAACCTACGCATACCCCTGACCACCCCGCTGTGCTGATTCGCTAGGTACTGACTCCTGAATGTTCAACAGAAAGCAGGAAAAGGGCAGCTTGCTGCATGGACGCCCCCTAAAGACCAGGGCACTTGTTTGTCAAAGATGGATATTCCCAGGTCCCTCTCATGAAGACTGCCTGATTCTGTCTTTCAGGAGCAGGGGACAGTGCCCAGTGCCCACCACACTTCCAGGGGTGCCCAAGATGTTAAATTTATTCTAAAATAAATGCATGGTTTTTGCTTGTCTTTGTATATAGAACGAAGTATCCATACAAAGTATATACACTATATACAAAGTATATATACTATATGCAAAGTATAAATACATACACTGCCATTTTATAGCTATCTCTGCATAGCTGTCATCTGTTCTCTATAGCTATAATCCATATCATCTATCAAGATCTAAATATCTATATCATCTATTGTATTGCCCATCATCTATATCTAATATCTGTATCATCCATCTATATTTATATGTAGCACCTACCTACATCTACAGATCTATACCGATCTATATGTCTATTTCTATAAAAAGAAACCTGAAGGCTTTGTTACGATGCAGGCCTGTATTGTGCAATTTCACATTCAGGAAATTTAGGATGAACCTGAGACTGTGCCTATTTACACAGCGTCCTATAATGGGGATTGTCTGGTTTTGAAAGAGAGGCTATATTGCCTGCCTTTTTGAATGACAAAACTAATTTCCCTGTGGTACAGAAATGGCCAGAATGGCATGGACTCAAAGCTGGGCACTTGTGAATCATAAACCAGGCATCCTATTGTGGCTCTGCCAGTTGCAAGGTAAATAGGAAGGCCTGCCAACCTTTGCCCAATTCCTGGAACTGGGCTGTTTCTATGAAACTTCTGGGAGGGACTTTGATGACCTTGTGCGTCTGTTTTCACAGCCGCTGTTATTATTGTAACGAAGACTTTTTTCTCTGGGAACCCACGCCTCACCCTTTGCCGCCTGTGTGAACTGGAATAAATTACCGGACATGGCCTCTACTCGTCTGTGTCCTCTCCGTAAAACAGGTAAAATCACCCTGCCTTTCTGTGGGGCACACAGAACATCTCAAAGAGACTATTTCTGATAGTGTCCACCCACTGATAGTGCCCTCGTTGGGGAGGCGACCATCCTCAGACAGCTACTGTGGGACAAATTTTAGATCCGATTAAACACTGCTGGGAAGGCAAAGCAGCCAGCACTGTTCTCTTAGGAACCAGCATGCCGGGAAAGATCAGCGGCAATGTGGAGAGAAATCAAAGCCAAAAGAATTTCAAATATTATTGTCTCTAGCCATCCACTAGGGATAAGTTCTAGGACCCCAAGGGCGACCCAAATCCATGGTGGCTAAAGCCCCTATATACAGTGTCTGCACACACCCTATGCACCTCCTGTATATGCTTCAGAGCACCCCTAGATGGCTCATGGTGCCCAGCACAGTGCCATTGTGGTCTGAATAGGCGCTACATGGTGTTATTTAGGGAATGACAAGAAAGGAAAATGTATGTGTTCAGTACAGAAGTCACCGTCCTACGTGTTGCTACATAGTAAGGATTGTCCATCCAGGGTTGGCTGAATCCAGATGTAGAACTGGTGCGGCTACAGAGGGCTGACTGTGACTGTGGCTGGACGTGTCCTCTCCCCCTCCCCAAACACACGCACACACTCTCTCTCTCTCTATCTCTCTCTCTCTCTCTCTCTCTCTCTCTCACACACACACACACACACACACACACACACACACACACACTTTATTTCCCTAGAAAACTAGGCTTGATTTACCTCTTCTGCCATGTTTCTCAAATTTCTCTAACCTCAAGGTGGTTGAATAAATGTTTTGATGGCAACCTGGCAGACAATTGGCGTCCCTCCCCCTTCACCTCTGCAAAATGAACACACCTATGACACATCAGAACCTCTTTGTAAGACTTGGCGGGCTGTTGCCCATGGGGATTTAGCACAGGACCTGTTACACAGCAAGTGCTCAGTACATGCTCCTAGGACTCCCACTTCAGATCAAGCAAGGCGCTCAGAGAGGGTATGTGACTTGCTCAAGGTCACAAAGCCACAGTGCGGGACTGCACAGCCCAGAGTTTCTGCTTCCACTGCTGACCCCTCCCTGGACAGCTCTTAGCTTCTGCCCCCCATTCAGCCCCCCTGACTACCCTCATTCATACAAGGCCAGATGCCTGCCATCCTCCAGCACCCTGACCTGCATTTCCATTCCACAGGACCCTGAACTGACTTCCTCAACCTTTACCCACAATTGACAAAGCTGACAAGCCGGACTCAGAATGCCTGTTGCACTTTCCAAAGACTTATTTTGGGCCAGGCACCAGTTCCCACCGAGGAATGAGCTCGTTAAATACTCAGAACAACCTAATGAGGGGGAAGACTATTATTAGAATGTGTGTTTTACAGCTGTGGAGGCTGCGGCATAGAGAGGGTAAGTAACCTGCCCTGGGTCACACAGCATTTGCAAATGTTGGGGGCCAGATTTGATATTATATCAGTCAGCAGATATTATATTGCTCATGCCCCTCCCCCGCCAAGAGGATAGGGCAGCAGCTGCTGGCATCTCTATGGCAAACACTGATTTATTATAAAGGTCAGGGATTTTCTTATAGCCTTGTCTGTGTTTGTTTTCTTCTCTTTTTTCTTTCCATTGCAGGGAACCATGAGTTAGAAAGCAATTTTGAATGCCAACCCCCACCACCCCCCCTAGTGCTTAGAACTAGATGCATGTCACACCAAGCTAGGCCTCCAGACCTCTTAAAACAGTAGGCCTGCTCGCTCCAGCCCGGGAGCTCAGGAAAATGTCCGAAGGCCTGGCTCCCACAGAAGGGCTGTTGTTTGTGACCGATGGGAACCCAGCGAGTCCCTGACCCCGTGGCCTCCTATCACTGTGGCCGCCCCCTTCTCACCCGCAGCTGGAAGGGTGGGAGGCACAGCTGGTTCAACTCAGTCCTCTCCAGGCCACATCCCGCCAGCGCGGAAATAACAACCCGCTCCAGATCCAGCCCAACTGGTTCTCAGACTTTTGGGAGAGGCGAGGAAGCACTGCGGCCTAGGGGGCCAGGACCCCTGGAGAGGGGGGACCCCAGTCCCCTGGGGGCTGCAGGGCACGCTGCCTGAGTCCACGTGGCCGTGGCTGTGACTTCAGCAGTCACCGTCTCCCTGGCCATCTGTCCCGCTCCGGTGCAGACCCGACCCGGACCCGGCCGCCGCCGCCCCTTACCTCCGGAGCTACTGCCGCGCAGGCGGGCGGCTCTAGCGCTCAGGCTCAAGCTGGGCCACCCCTCCTCTCCAGAGCCCGCCTCTGCCTGCTAGTCCCGGGCGGGCGCTCGCCTTCTTCCTCCTTCCTCCGGGCGGGACTCACCTGGCAAAGGAAGTATCATGTGGGACCTCGAGGGGGAACCAGGACTCAGGTGTCCACTCTCCAGGGTCGCCTCATCAGCCCCCCTCTTCCAGCTGCCAGGGGTCCTGGCTCTCTTACTCCTCCCAGCTTGGGGTAAAGGATCAAGCCCTCCCCTCCCCCCTTAGACCTAGGAATCCAGGCCCCCAGTCCCCTTCCCTCATTCCAGAAATTAGGGTCCCATACCTTACCCCCTTAAACCCTTTGGAGCCCGAGCCCCTCCACCCCCAGTCCAGGAGCCTAGCTGCACCCCTGGGGCCTGGCATGGATCCCCTATTTACCTGCGCCGGGCTCTAAAGCGTCAGCCCCTCCCGGGGGCCATGGTCAGAGCCCAGTGGGCCCGGAGCCACCGCCCAGTCTGGCTTGGTCGTCTGGGGCAGAGAGGGTGCGGGCGCTCGCCCCTCCCAACCTTCTGTATTCCCCCAAAAAGTTTGCCTCCAGGATTTAAAGGCCTAGAAAGCAGCAGTGGAAAAGTGGAGGCCCCTCCGGCTGAATGTGGGGGCGGGAGGAGGCCAGGGCCGAGCGCAGAGCACGCCGAGCGGGAGGGGGCTGGACGGGCGCGCCCCCAGCCGGCCCCTCCCCTGCCGGCCTGGAATTTCCTGAAACTGGGGAAGTCTGGCTTTTTCGAAGAGTAATTTCTTCCAGATTGCAGCTCCGCAGCTGTTGGGGGAGTGTGTGGTGTTTGGAGAAAGGGAGACAGGGAGAGGGAGGGAGAGAGAGGGAGAGGGAGGGGGAAGGGGTGAAAGAGAGGGAGGGGGAGAGAGAGAGAGAGAGAGAGAGAGAGAGAGAGAGAGAGAGAGAGAGAGAGAGAGAGAGAGAAGCAGGCAGTCTGCGGGGTGCAGCCCTCCCCACCCTTGCAGGGAGCTCCCTGGGTGAGTGTCCTTGTCTGAAGCTCTTGCTCAGGAAGGCCCTTCCACCCCGCTGAGCCCCTGTGACTGTGGCCAGAAGAGGGTCACATCTGGGCTTCAGGAAGACCCCTCCGCAGCCAGGATGACTGGGGGGTGGGGAAGAAGAGGGTGGCTCCTCCAAGGTGGAGGCTGACTCAGTAGAGTGAGAGAGAGTGTGTGTGTGTGTGTGTGTGTGTGTGAGTAGTAGTAGCAGTAGCAGCAGCAGCAGCAGCAGCAGCAGCAGCAGCAGTAGTAGTAATAGTAGTAGTAGCAGCAGCAGCAGTAGTAGTAGCAGCAGCAGCAGCAGCAGTAGTAGCAGCAGCAGTAGTAGTAGTAGTAGTAGCAGCAGCAGCAGCAGCAGTAGTAGCAGCAGCAGCAGTAGTAGTAGTAGTAGCAGCAGCAGCAGCAGCAGTAGTAGCAGCAGCAGCAGTAGTAGTAGTAGTAGTAGCAGCAGCAGCAGCAGCAGTAGTAGCAGCAGCAGCAGTAGTAGTAGTAGTAGTAGCAGCAGCAGCAGCAGCAGTAGTAGCAGCAGCAGCAGTAGTAGTAGTAGTAGCAGCAGCAGCAGCAGCAGTAGTAGTAGCAGCAGCAGCAGCAGCAGTAGTAGCAGCAGCAGCAGCAGTAGCAGCAGTAGCAGCAGCAGCAGCAGCAGCAGTAGTAGTAGTAATAGTAGTAGTAGCAGCAGCAGCAGCAGTAGTAGTAGTAGTAGCAGCAGCAGCAGCAGCAGTAGTAGCAGCAGTAGCAGCAGCAGCAGCAGCAGCAGCAGCAGCAAGACAAGGAGGAGGTCAGGGAGGAGGCTGGCTCGGTAGGGGTACGAGTGTATGTTTGAGGTATGTGCGGTGGGCAGACACCTAGGCAGGAGGAGGTCGGCTCAGTCGGGCTGCGTGTGCACACGAGAGTGTGTCTGGATGTGTGTATGGTGGTGAGTAGAGGCGGGGAGGAGGCCGGCTCAGCTGGGAGCTGGGGCTGTGGGTCTGAAGAGACAGTGTCCTTTAACAAGCAAGGGAGCTGCATCCGGGAGGAGAGCTTCATTCCTCTTCATGGCCAGGCGCTAGCCCATGGGGTGGGTGGAGCACATTCGAAGATCAATGCTGTTTTCATGAAACACCTTTTTGAAAAATGAATGCCTCGAAATCCCTAATGAAACTATCCAACTTCAACTGAAGACGGGGTGAGGATGTGATGGTCCTGTTGGGGCCTGAGCAAAAGGAAAGTCAATAGCACCAACCCAGTCTTCGTTTAATATGCGACATAGCACCTGTTGTAGATTGTTATTTATTATTTTTTCACACGCTGCAGTCATTATGGTGTTGTTTATCCTGGTTACTGAATCTTCGGTGCCTCCTTGATTTTTCCTTTGCCTTACCCTAGTCCTGGCCCCAGCAAGGTGCAGGGAGCCTGAGGAAGGACCTGAGCTGAGGTGAGGTGGAGACCCCAGAGGGGTTCAGGAGGCAGGCTTCCCTGGCCTTGGAGCCAAACGAACGGGGTTTCAAAAGAGAGGTGCTAAGATTAAGAACCTCTAACCCCCCATGATTTAAACCACCCACACTTACTATTTCACAGTTTCTGCAAGTCAGCCGCACCTGCTGGGTCCTGAGGGTCTCTGGAGGCTGAAATGCGCATGTCCAACAGGTAGGGCCCTGCCTTGGGAGGAGAGCCCTCCCAACTCTCCTCGGACCCAGGACCAGTCTGTGTGTCCCTGGCTCTTGCTGGCTGTCAGTCAGGCAGCTGGTCTACTGCTAGGGGCTGCCTGCAGCCTTTACTTGGCTCACCCCAGTGATATACGCCAAGTCCCCCTGATTTGTCAAATCTCCCTCATTTGCCATTTTCCTCCATCTCTCTCTCTTGCCTGCAGCCTGAGAGGGCCCAGGCGTTGAATGGCCATGTGGTTTGACTGGGCCACCGGAGAGCCCTGCAGGGAGACAGTACCCTTGTGTGGGTGCCCTATAGCTCCCCTACGTGTTTCCACACACATATGTCCACACACATATTAAGATACGTAATTACGATATCTGAAGATTAAGGTACCTATCTTTATATATAAGATGTTATATATAGCTTTACACAATTATACTTATAATTACTGATACCAACATGCCATAGTAATGCACATCTCCACCTGGCACACCTGTCTGTTAGATCAGCAATATGTGTCTATTAATACATGTGCACATCCACGATGCAGAAACTTACCTTATACACAGATTATACACAGATAACACACACCTACTCTATCATTGTACAATGAATACTTATCACTTGGTAATCAGTAAAACTTTATATATATTTATATTTATACACAATTGATTTCGAGGGCTGGATCTGGCGATGAGGGCAGAGAAGTGCAAATCCACGTGGCAGCCGGGAAACTGTCCTCCAGGAGGCGGGACTAGGCACTGCTGTCTAGGAAGAATTCCCTCTTCCTCTGGGAAGCCCACGGTTTGCTCTTAATGCCTTTCAACTGATGAGATGGGGCCCACCCACAGTCTCAAAGGTAAGGGATGTCAGCCGCACCCACAAAGGCACCCCAGGATATTGTCTACTGAATGACCAAAAAGCAACCCTCCCATGGGCTAATCTCCCTGTTTTCACGGCTCTAGATTAAATCCCATCCACAAAGTCCCTTTGCCACTTGACATAACAGATCCGTAGGTTTGGGGATTTGTGCGCCTTTAGAAGGGCATTCTGTCCAACCCCAGGACGCCGCCAGGCAAGGGCTGGGGGGCTGGGCCACCCCAGGGTGAGCAGCCTGGAGGAGGAGCAGGTATGATTCCAGGCCCGAAGAGAGGTGAGGACAGCTTCTGAGGGTGACCTGGCAGCCCCTCTTGCTGGTGCTCAGAAGAACTCTGCCCCTTTGAAATCGTTAATAATTTTGAACAAGGAACATCCATTTTCTTTTGCATCGTGCCACAAATCACATAGCTGGCTCTGGACTGAAGTGTCGCAGAGCAGAGGCCTGGGATGGGCATCTGAGAAGGTTGGCTTGGCAGAGATAAGAGGAGAGAAAGGGTCTTAGACAAGGCCATGTAGCAGTCAGAGAGGAAAGGAGGCTGGGGGAAGAAGGGACATATCTGAAGTGTGTTCCAGAAGCCCAGGGAGGGTAAGGAGGATGCACAGGTCCTCCTGGCCAGCTCTATGGCAACCCAGCATGATAAGAAGATCCATTGGCTTTGGTAATATCCCAGAGGCCCTGGTGGCAGCAGAAGCCAGATGGTGGCAGGAAGGCAAAGTCCAGACAGGAGGCAAGGGGGTGGGCAGGACTTGGCAGAGAGGGGGAGCGGGGGGGAGAGAGAGGGAGAAGAGAGAGAGAGAGAGGAAGAGAGAAAGAGGAAGAGAGAGAGAGAGAGAGAGAGGAGGGAGGGAGGCAGGGGGATAGAGAGGTCATTTGGAGGAAGATGGAGTTCATAAAAGGAATTTTGTTTCTCTGGTCAGTTTAGATATATTTGCCACTATTTTGTTTCATTGTGGACAAGGTAATTTTTAGTTACATAGACAAATGAACACATTTATATAGAGAAACACAAAGAATCTTCTCTAACCGGTGTTGATGACCTACTCTAATCCCCATCTCATGTATCCTCTGGAATTAGTTTGGGATGTGCACATTCCCAGAGGGCTGGGATCTTACAAACACATACCAGGGGTCTCCGCCTGGCACCATTGTCATCAGGACAGGATGGCTTTGTTGTGGGGTGTCCTGCTCTTCATCTGGGGGCCTGTCCCTCCTTTGCACTGCAGGAAGTTAAGCAGCCTCCCTGGGCTCTGTCCACTAGGGGTCAATAGAGGATCCTCCCCCCACCCTGGGCTCCCACAATGTTTCCAAAGCCCTACTGTGGTGGGGTATTGAGATGATTTCCAAAGAAAACATGTCATGCATTTTACATAAGCAAATAGGAACACCTGCTGGGGGTCAGGGGGTGGGGGAGTGGGGGACACCACTGTTTACCTGCTGAGCAGTTTGTTTTGGGAACCATTCATTTTTACTATGGACAAATTTTTAAAGGTGTGAGCTGTGACCTTATCTCAGCGCAGCACAGAAAGTCTGTAACAGCAGCTATGAGGATAACAAGAGCACTCACAGCCACTGACAGTTCCCAATTTCTTCAAATCTACCAGGAGCTGGTCTAGTCTTTTCCTTCTGCACCTTCATTTAAAACTTGCAATGATTCTGTGGCAGGAGGTTTGATATTATCCTCATTTACAGATGGGGAAACTGAGGCACAAAATTCTTTCTTTTCCCCCCCAGGCATTTAGTTAATGCAGCTGCCAAGTTGTACAGGAGCTTTGAAGCTGTGTCTGGCAGACTGGCTGTGACAAAGGAGAGATGGAAGATACAGGGTGCAGGGGATTGTGGTCGAGCAGGGAAGACAGTTCAACAGAATTTTCTGGGACGATAGACAAGTTCTGTTATCACTGCCTAATATGGGCATTTGAAATGTGGCTAGTGGGGCTGAAAATGGAAAATTAAATTTTATTTAATTTTTGTTGAGTTAAGGGGAAGTAAGCACTGGTTACCAGATGCCCTTTTTCTCTGGTCCCAGTGCTGCCAGCCCATGTCTGGAACATTTAAGGGCAGGTCAGCTGACGGGAGGAAGGGGGAGGAGAGAGATAGAGAGAGACAGAGAGAGACAGAGAGACAGAGAGACTAAGAGAGAGACAGAGAGAGAGAGACAGAGAGAGAGAGAGCCTTGCCTTCAGAGGGCGCCTGGGGTGAAGTCATGGCCAGAACTGGACTGCAGCCAAACTGCCCTCTTCCAAGGACAGCTGAGCCCTCTCTCTGGAACTCCCCCTCATGGATCTCAGCTCCTGCC